AAAGCAGACTCTAGCACAAATGAATCAGATGCTCCCGTGTCCCGTAAGATAGTCACTGGCACCCTCTTGTTATTTCCAACCAACGACGCATGTCCTTTTGAAATAAACGGCAAGTATGAGCTTAAGTCAGGCTTTGACATCACAACTGGTGACTCAACCCTCGACTGGTCTGAAAGCACATTGGAAATTGGTGCCGCTAGAGCCACCGGCTTTACACAAGTTACATCTTGCCTATTCCGTAACTTAAACGCCACGCAGTCTCTCTTCCAGTGACCGTATCTATGACAAAAATGACACTCAGAGTCACGGACTCCATGATCAACTCTCTGTTCTCGAGGCAAACCCCCACCTGACGCCCTAGAAAAAAACATCCCTCCTGCAGGTGCAACATTTCCCCCAGACAAAGCATGCGTGCGGACATCGACACCGCTACCTTTGTGGGTCAAGAAATAATCATCCGCAAGGGCAGCAGCCTCCCCTGCTGTCCTTACCTTCCGTTCACTTATGTACATGGCAATTCGTTCTGGAACTGAATTCTTAAACTGTTCAAGCACCATCAAGTTACACAAGTCATCAAAATCCTTCACTTCTGAAGCCGAGCACCATCGACTAAAGTGAATCCCCAAATCACGGGAAAATTCAAGATATGATTTATCTCCCTTTTTCCAACTCCTAAAACGCTGACGGTATGCTTCAGGGACTAACTCATACGTTTTCAGTACAGCAGTTTTAACCTTTGCATAATCACCGCTGTCTTCCAGAGACAACGAGGAAAAAACCTCCTGAGCACGCCCATTTAACACACATTGTAGCAAAACGATACGGTCTGAATCAACCCAGCCCCTCGTGTCTGCAATCCGCTCAAACAACGTGAAGAATACATCCACGTCTTTCTCACTAAATTTAGGCACCAAGCGCAAACTATTCAAAATATCACTTGAATTACCGCTGCTTCGAGCAAACTCTTCATTCCTGGAAAAGTCATTGAATTTACCTTCTTTAACTAACCTCAGTCTCTCACTTTCCAAATCTAGCTTTGCCATTTCGGTTTGTTGCCTCATCTTTTCTAGTGCCAACGCTTTATCACCTTCTGCTTGCTGCCTCATCCGTTCCAACTCTAACTCTTTCTCCTTCTCCAACTTCATCCGCAATATCAACATTTCTTTTTGCTGTTCAAAATTTAAAGCTACACTATGAGACATATCCTGCGAACACTCATCCAAAGCCAAATTAGTAGGACTATGTGATTTTTGTACAGGTGTTAAAACACCCATATCATACAAATGTGCCCTTATAGTAAATCTAATGTTTTCCTTTAACCTTCGGTCGCCTACACTGATTTTATAATGGTCAGCTATCTTTAACAACTGATCCCTAGTACACTGATCCAAAAATTGCTCTGAAGGAATAGCAATGAACTCATCTACTCCTGCCATGATGATGAATACCACCTGAAGGATGCCCGACAGCAAATCAGTCCCCGGTAAACAAAAGAATGTATAGTATTGACCTAAATAGTGCGCAACGCAGACCACAAAATAACCTCAAAATTGAGCATCCCCTCTAAACTGCCTAACCCGATCTATCTAACTTAACCCTAGTCTTCAGGAGTTATTCGCGGCGGGTATTTACGCACTAAAACCCAGTAGTTTGGTTAAGCGACCAGCAAGCTGGCAACTTCGCCACAACCATGGACGTGCTCCCGAGACAACTGCTCCAGCCACTTTCACCCCACACTACATTCCTGTGCACACGCATCCTAAAGAGGAAAACGCGCTATTCCTACAGGGGAATTTGCTCAATATATACATTTGCGCAACCCAAAAAAAAGGTCAACACTTACCTTCCTTGTCCCGTGACTAGACCGAAACTAACTTGCACCAATGATTCCAAATCATTCCACGGCTTGGTCATTTCCCTTACGTAGGTTTCCACACAAAAAAAACACATCACTTTACCTCTGCTAATAGTACAATTTCCAAGTTTGACGAGCCCCCAATTTGTTATGATCCGGCTCCAAGGCCACAACAAATACGAGAAACCACGCTACAGGGATTTGTCAGCCAACAGTTTTATTTCTCCAATTTAACCCATTCGACCACCGAAACCACCATTGCGCTGGGGAACCGGAGAAAGCCAGAAGTCGCCCAAACACTCCGAAAGGGGCAGGTTTTAATGCACTCAGGACAGTGGCCAGCTGCGTCGGATCTGCCTGATGGCCTCCACTCCACCAGGAAGTTCACCCTGTAACACACACACCCACACAGACAGAGACACACCCACATATACCCTGGCAGTGGCCCTGGGGCCGTCACACTGCAGAGTCGAGTGATTGTTCCCTGTGTGGAAAATGTCACATTAAATTATATTAGCAGGAATTTGAGATTGCTCTGAGTTTCTACAAACACCTCAGTTACACTATTACACCGTCTCTGACTGGCGTTTAATCAGCACCGCTTTTAACACGTGTTTGTGGTGACCTTCTAGTTATTGTGCTCGTCTATTTCTATCCTTTACTGACAGCTGCAGACACTGTGACCAAATGGGGCAAACCCCGAATCAGGGCAGATCCCTTGTTAGACGATTCAACCCTCTCTCTCCACATACCAAAACGCACCGCTGCGGGAAAAGGCTCCTTCTCCTTCAAGAGTTTACGCAACGAGGCACGTGACAAAGGGCCGAGCGCGGCAGCGAGGTCAGCCCTGTTTGGAAGTGTTCCACGTGTACAGCTGTGTCGCTGCGGAAAGACTGCATTAAAGAGTATGTTTCTTGTTTGACACATTACATACATACATACATACATATATATACACATCTGAAGGTTGCAAATAAAAAGACTTCACCGAGAGTTGTGTCCATAGGTTAGTTCTATCTAGGTTAAGGCCATTTGCGATAGCATAACTCTTCTGTTTATTTACAATATATTACAAACAAACCTTTTTTTTTATTTTGGGATTACCATGAATGCACTTTGCATTTAGGATGCTTGGGAATTTTCCAAGAAAGCTCTGTGGCCAAATTGCATTGTGGGTAATGTAGGACCCTGGTTTAAAGTAGCAAAAAGAATAATAAGACAATATTGCTGGTTCTGCTACAACAAATTTTTCCGGAGCAGTGCATCTTGAGTCAAAGGTCTAGCAGTGCAGTAGAGGATAACATGCACCTGTTTCTCTTGTGTTTCCCCGTCTCTTTGTACGTGTTGTGCTCGCGGATCCCTTCCTGGCTCCCTCCCAGCTCCTGATTACAGCTCATTCACCTCACCTGTCCACTCCGCACAGCTGGCTTCCATTTCCTCCTCAACTGGAGAGCAGATCTACGCCAGCTCTCCATCTCCTCATCGCCAGATTGCTGTTGCAACTCTAGTGGTAGATGCTTTTGCAGGAGTGAAATGTCCCACTGTAACTTCCCTTTTCATTGCTTTTGTGCTTTCTTTCATCTTCACCTGCATTAACTACCTGCTCAGCAGGCAGTTCAGTATGTTCACATAGTAAATAGAAAAAGCCCCACTCTTAAAAAGGTTTGAGTTTTGGTCCTCACTTACTTATCTTAAAAGCTTGCTACTTTTTATTCTAAATTACATGAAGGCATATGAATGCAGGATTACTATTTGTAAAGGAGTGCGTTTCAGTCGAGCATCTAAACACCATCAACCATCTGAAGGCAGGACGCTACGTGTAGTGGACTCAAATCTAGGACACATGTTGAGTTGCTGAAGCCGTCCCAGCAGCGCTGACCTGCCTAATCTGATGGCATATGGCGCCTTCTGCTCTGCCAATGAGCCCTCAAAGGCCCCCGGCTGAAAACGAATCGGGACAGATATGGGTTTCTATTTACAACTGGAGCCTTTTGGGAGTTCTGACTCTCCAAAATGTGATGATCACATAAAAGGAGCTGGTGTCCCCATTGAAGGAGGGGATTGTGCCACTTATTGCAGGGGTCCTGCTACAGGATTGCTCACGCATTTCAGCACACAGCTACGAGGAAGGAGAGGCGGGGTGGGGGGTAGAATATGTACTTAAATACACCCTATTTGGTAGATTTATATTCCTTGGCAGAACACATATGCCAGGAAACGAGCTAAGTGGTGATGACGACGGCCTGTTTTTGCTGCGGTCGGACTCACTTGGGCTCCGGTGGAAGCGGCCGAGTGCATTTGTGGAACCGCTTGGTCGGATGGGAGAGTTTTTAAACATTTGAGAGCTGGAAACGGTCCACACTTTGAAGAGGATAAGGGGAGGCGTGGAATTGATTTATTATGCTTTGACAATGATGCTGCGGTGATTCCATTGTGTCAGTTGCATAATGCATATCATTATTTCTGTAAATATTCACAGCGTGCTGCTGCAGTATCACAGATGGCCTCCTTTTAACGATCAAAGGAAGATTACCCAGCGGTGTAGATGCAAACATTGTAATTGATATAGTACTTAATAATATGAGAGAGAGAATAGGACTTAATTACGTGAGCATGCCAGTGATTTACTGCTCCCACAGGTATAAGCTGTCCGCTTATGTGTGTGTTTACTTACTGTATGTGTGAGGTTTGTGTGCTGGAACAGGAAGTCAGCAGCATTGTCACTGATATTCATCAACATTTAAGTAATATATAAAAATAATTCTGGAGAAGCGTTACGCGTGCTAATGTAGGAAACTCAAAGCTGGGCTCAAAGTTTACTTTAAATTAGAAATGTCGTCCATGTCTCAGCAATAAAATGCTCTCAACCGTAACGAACGCCGAACATGAGAATTAGCACAACGGGGGCAGTCAGGCTGGAGAAACCCACCATCACTGTCATGGTGCCTGGATGTGAGCGCCGATTAGTGTTCACTCTATGAACTCACAGGCTTTGAAGAAATGTGTCTAACTTAGTCAATTTTGTGTTGTAAGGCCACTTTCGCAGCTGTAGAGTCTGGTGATTTATCCATTCACTCATCAAAGAGGACACTCTTAAACATTAGGATTTTACATTGTTGGCATTGAGAGTTAACACGTTACACGGTTATGGTGTTATTTCTATAATTTATTTAGCAAAATAAATGATACACACAGCAGAGGAAGCCTTGTGTTTCCTGCTCTTGCTGCGGCGTGTATCCAGGTCAGACACTGCACATGTGATCTACATGTTAGCTTCAGTTGATTCTCAGTTTAATGCACGTCAAGCCCTTTTTACATCCATGGAGCCATCACAGAGGCCTCCTTCTGCACCTGCTGAGGAAACAAACGCAGAATAAGCACTAAAATAAACGGCTTGTGGTCAAATAGATGTTTCATTGTATTAGTGGGACCTTTTGAAGATTGAAATGTGTGCAATACAACGCGTGTTGATATCATTCTGCCATTACTTGCACAATGATTATGTAGAACAAATCTTAATAAAACATTAACAATGTACATAAAATATTTTATCAATAACTGCATTTTATCTGCAGCTATTAAAACTTGAATTATTATTCATACTTTATTAAACTGATAATATTATACACAATTAATAAATATAATTCAATTAACTTCATGTCATGATACGGTTTTGCTGCTTTAAGGGATTTTGTCATTAGTCAGCTATAATCAGACGGCCCCTGCCGCCCTGCAAAGGTTAATCCAGTTCAGATAGTGATTGGATGGGTGGATGTTAAGACCCTGTCTTTGTGAAACCACGGCCAACATCTGCTCACCGTATTTAGCTCCGGGAAAAGTTCTTGAATGGCGATGTCCAGCAGCACATACGTCAGCTGGCGAAGGCCAAAAGCATTAAAGAAATACTTCACCCACAACGTTAACATTTCCAAATACACGACTCAACCTGTGTTACCTTTAATTGTTGAAGAAAATAGATTTTCTTTCATACCTCCATCCGAAAAGTAAATTAGGGGCACATCTAACAGCAAAACTATACCAGTACATTTGGTATAGTTTTGCTGAGAGTGTTTAGAGAGCACAGGGCTGGATAAATAATACTGCAGTAGAGACGGTTTGCTTGTTTGATAGAGGTCTGCGGCCATTCAATAACTAACAAATCTCCTTTTATACAGTTTGAGATTCCTCCTTCACCGAATCATGCAAGAAAACCCACGTTTTCTGCAAGACCTCAATGTAACACAGGTTGAGTAATTGGGTACTCTTTACTTTGAATACCAACAGTAGACACACTTTAAACATTATGCAAATGACAAATAGCAGGAAATCTATTATCTAATCTATTATTATAAATATTATTACCAAATTACACAAAACATTGAGAAGATTTGGGATTGTGGTTTGCCATAACCAATGTCACAGTGAAAAACACTGTGTGACGGTTGTCCTTCTTTGTCTTAACAAGTAGAAACATGCTGGAAAACCCAGTGTGGTTCAGATGCTGTGTGTGTGTCCTTGTGTACCTGTTTGTTGAGAACTGGCTGCTGCAGTCCATCAAAGAGGAGACGCACCCCTTCGTACTTGGCCTCTTCTCCAATACATTTCCCCAGAAAATCTAAAAGACACTCAGTTAGTGAATTTCTCATGTGTGTCCACATGTCCTCAGTTTGTCTTGTAAATTGTTTGATGGTCGGTCAAGTTCCGCTAACGAAATACAGAACAGTGCTTTAAAAGAAGTGACTAAACACCTGGAATGTAGGTCATCATCTCCTCAAAGGTCTTCTTGGCCCTCCTCTGCTTGTCTTCGGGCGAGCGGGACAGACTGCTCTCACAGAACACCGTGTCTGGGAGGGCAAACGATCACATTCATCAGGTCGCCGCGTCAGAGCGCGCGCAGGGCTTTTCCTTCGCCACATTTTACCTCTCAGCAGGGTTATGAGCGAGACGAGCCGGTGCTCCTGGACCACCTGGTTCAGTTTCTTCTGAAGGTAGTGGTCTGCGTAGGCTTCCAGCGTGTTCTTCAACAGGATCCGGCCAGCCATCAGCAGGTGGTGCAGCCAGTCGGGGACGTGGAAGACGACTCGGCCTGACGATGGAGAGAGAGAGAGAGAGGGGAGGAAACAGAGTGTGTGAGTGAATGAAAACATTGTTGGTTAACGGTTTTCACCCATGGTGATACTGTAAAACAAGGTTTCATTTGGTTTTTGAACAGTGGTGTATAAATAAAGCTATTACATGTCAAACCAATAAAACATTTTATTACAATTAAACAGCAGCTGAAAAATGGTCGTAATCCTAATGTAGATGAAACAAATTTAACTGCTGTTACAAAATTGTGACATCTGCTTTTGTTTTGGATGTAATGGTGATAAATATGTTCATGCTGCTCATGACAGTTTTATGAGAAATCACTTACCCACAAACATTAAGTAGTCATAAAGCCCATCAACAGTGATCATTTCCATGAAGTAGTTCCGATTGGGTCTCTTCTCAGTCATCTCCGATCGGTTGGCGTTGTTTTTGAAGAGGTCGTTGAACAGCTGGGGAATTTATTTTATTATTTTTTTTTTTTTTACATCAGACTGAAATCAATTTACCACCACGTGATCACAATACGGACTCCTAGTTTTTCCAGAACCTTTTCTAATCTGAATGAGGCAAATGTGCAATTTCTATTTAGAATCTTAAACAAAATCTTATATTAAAATCTAAAATGATTACAATAAAAATTGTTCTTCATTCGAAACTTAATGACAATCGGTGACTGATTTATCTCTGTATATTTGACACAATGACAAAATTGCCATGGATCTTTATTTGAGCGGACATTTAAATTAAATTGTGCATGAATGGGCTGAATTGTGTTTGGCACTTCAAAGTGTACAAAACATTTAACAGTCCAATAGATTTTGCCCCCGGCACGGATTCATGTCGAATGCCCACGGCCTTTTTGTGGGCTGCCGGAGCAGATACAAATGTTATTTAGAAACTATGCAATGACAGGATTCTTCCCACAACACAACGATGATAGAAGGCCATGCACATAAAACTCAAGTGGCAAGATGTTTGAAACTGAAAGCACCTGTAAAGTGGATTTTCTATCTTTTAAGGCTCAGTTTCCGTCTTTTATTCCATGACAACAAACAACAGAACCCTTCCCACAGTGATGTACAGCACCATAACTGCCCTCTGAAAACCCCAAAAAACATTAAACTGTAAAGCCTGATTGAAATACGGGTTCTTAGAGCAAAACGTTGGGGGGAAAGAACTTCCAAACCTTTTTATCGTTTTCCGAGGTGGGGCTTAGGATGGTGAGCTCGGGACGGCTGGGTTTGGCTTTGGGAGATTCACAGGAGTTGAAGTAGGATTGGATGAAAGGTTCCAAGTGCTGCCCTTTCTGACAGAAAAAGCACAGAGTACAACATGTACAAATTACAATGAGTTTGTCTTATGTATTTATTTTATGTTTAATGCACCGTTAAGAATCTAAAAACACACACAAGTTACTGCTTACATTTTTCCATCATGAGACATTTGTATTGTAGAAAGATGAGATGAGAGAAATAAAATCAAGCCACAAAGTGGGAATGAATTTTTTCTTTTTACCTCTTTTATAAGTTTGCTGGGGACCGACTTGATGATTTTCCCTGTGAAACGCAAATATGTTATCTCAGGGATGCATGGTTCTGTCACATTAAATCTTTTCCCCAAACCCAAAGTCCGTTTGACACGTCCTGCTCTCCAGACATAATGTCTCTGACTGGTCATACGGTACCCAGGTTCACATCAGGGAGCATCTTGTCCAGGAACTGAGACTCCATACTGTAGGGGGACAGGAAGTCGGCGAGGAGCTGACTATTGCTCAGCTCCGGGTGCTGCAGAAGTTTCTGTAAGGAAAACACATGTAAATGTACTGTGTTCTAATTTATGTTCTTCTTCTTTCGTTTTTCAAAAACCATATTGGGGGTTTTGTATGTTTTATAACCCATCAACACGGCGTATATTATTGATTAACACTGTTGAGAAAATCTAATACAGTTTTTAATTGATATATAAATTTTAATAAGTACCCTCTCCAGTCCATTGGTTTTAGAATCCTCTAAATTCAATATACAAAAGGCTTTTTAATTCTTTAACTTTAGGGGTAGTGATTTCAGTTTGTCTACAAGAGTACCATTCAATTTTGCACATTCATGCTCCCCAATGACAAATTCAAATTACTTTGGCAATTTGTCCCTTTGTTTAGTAGGGCCACCATGTGGTATAATTTCAATTTTTTTCCAGTACTTTGGGTTGTGGCCAAATCGCTGAAAAACTAACGAAATTCCCAGAAGACTCAGCTGTACTTGTGTTTTGTGTTAATCACCATGCTGAGACATTACCTGCTTAGCAGCTGCATGTCAGCATGTGGATGTTAGGATTTAGCGCAAAGCACCACTAACGCTTAATGCAACCTCACAGGCTTGAAACAAGTGGAATTGGGGAAAATTTTGAGAATTTAATCCCGGCATTCACATTTAAATTGGCAGATGTTTGGTGGCACATGTTGAAATGGGAATCATTGGGACCACTTTCATTGCAGAGAGACTGCAGTCACGGCTCTTAATCTCTCTGGACTGGGAAAGTGCCAAATAGGAAGTTAGTAGTTCAATTCCCATCTCATCTCCTGACCTATCAATCGCAATCTGTATTGTTTATACACGTCTGATAAAGTTCAGTAAGTCTCGAGGTCTCAGCTTCTCAGAGATCTACCTGAAGATATTCCTGAAACTCCTCCCGCTTCGATGAGAGGAACTCGTAATTCTTGGGACCAATGATTCTCTTCGAAGGCAAATGTGCATCTGGAAATGAGCCTACAGAAATATGAAATAAACGAAAGAACTAAAACAACAAGCCTCTTCTTACTTTGATGGGAAAATAGCACTTTGCAAAAGGAGATATTAAATTGTGCAAGAGGACCATTAAACATACGTGACCCTTAAAGCTAAGGTTCATACTGAGGTAATGTTATGTTAATTCTCTGGAATCTGTGAGAACATTTGGGTGGGAAATTATTACCAAATGACTATAAATGGGAAAAAAAGCACAGGCCCTCTAATTCTAACAGAAACCTTACCATGGAACTCAGTGAGCTTTGATTCAAAGACGTAGAACTCCAGATATCTTCTGTACACGGACCAATGCTCAGTCTCATGTCCCACTGCAGAAACACAAACAGTAAGATTAATGAGTGAGACGTTGCTGCAGACGCATAGGTTTTACTCTGTTGGTTTGAGGGGTCAATTTGTCTGTGCAATAAGTGAATAAGTCCTATCTTACCTACCTAAAGGTTACCGATTAACACACCATTTGTTTATTATGCTACAGCACTATCACACTTTATTGATCAAATTTATATTCTGAACGCAAAACTAGGTCTGACAGAAGAGGATGCAGCCAGCGTCGAGCCTCACCTGCCTTCCGGTCGTTGCGTTCTACATCGATGCAGAACACAGGGATCCTCTCCCTCTTCAGATCGTCGTCATAGAAATCAATGTACGGGATGGTGATGTTCCAGGCCGAGAGGTTTCGGGGGGTGCTCGGGGTGGAGGCGGCCTCCATTGGCGAGTCGTCCTCCAGCACCATTGTGGCTTCCTCAACCTTGAATGGAAGTAAGTGAATGAGAGGTGTACTTGCTCCTTGAAATCCACACAAACTTTTGTATATAATAGAATAGCTTCAGTGGAGCTTAAGGGAACTTCATTTATTTGACTGTAAATCAAGTGAAAAGGTATTTACTATGCCACAAAAGTAATAACTTCTGGAAAGGTCCACTGTCTCTTGAGAAGAGCCCAATCACTTTCTAGAATCATGCAAATGTCTTTAGAATGCAGACGTTTGTGCTTCACGAATAAAACCTCTGATATCAAAACAGAAAACACTGGAGATAATACGTCATACGTGGTATGCACTTTGGCTTTGGGTTCATTTCTCTACACTGCCGGGTGGTTACTGCGTGTTTGGGGCCAGAGCACATATGTGGGCCAGAGAGCGCCATCTAGTGGTACAAATCTAGTTATTTTTACATCTAAATTGTGCTCAAGAATTCACATTAAAAAAGTTAGGAACACGTCATTTCCAAGAGCTGCCACGTTTGCATACAAATGTGTTTTACAGTAGAGGTCGGAGTTAAAAATAAAAACCTGTCTTGGAGGTTTTTGCTTTAAAGTTTACGTGAATCAGAAGGAATGAGGAAAAAAAACCCGGGAAATCAGATTCCGGTCCAAATCTAAAAAGGAATCATCAAGTTAGTGTAACAAACACTACACATGAATGAATTTGTATGGATCAGCCTCACCAGATCGTCCTCTCCCTCCACCAGCCCATAGGAGGGCAGCATTGCTCCCTCCATGGTTGTGCTCTTGAACACTCCTTTGATCTTGCTGCCGATGCGGCTGATCCCAAAGGACTCGCCCCTCTTTGATGTGTTCCTACACGCCAAACAGGGGGGGGGGGGTCACTAAGCATTATGTAATGGAGCACATGTGCACGGCTTCAGCAAAGCGCATGCAGCTTGAGAGAGGTGACACGGAAGGAACCGCAGTGAACAGGAGGAGGCCAAGCGATGAGCAACAAACTGCGTGACGACCGTACAATGGGGTGAAAAGCTAAAAGTAGACAAACCCACAGCCAAAATGTCACTTCACAACCATCTCACAATGAAATGCCTGGTTCGTTGTTAAAGAGCTGCAGGGCCAAAAGACAAACACACAGCACACCGCGGTGATTTCATGACCAGATGTCCAAATTTGGACTTATTATTTACATTATCAACCAGAGAACATCACAGGTGCTGCGAGTCGATGCCTGTTAGATTAAGTGAAATCAAAATCCCCACATGGCACAGGGTGATACACACAATGCACGAGAAACTGAAACACTGAAAGGTCACTGCCTTTAAAAAGAAAATTGTGCATAAACAACACTATAGAACTGGAACGAGGAAAATAACAAATAAAAGATAAAAACGGGATTCCATGCACCAGTCCCACCGTGCAGGCGTGTGGCCGGGACTGGGAACGCGGCGTGGGACGGCGCACAGCATGACATCACACCGAGCGACCTAGTGACACACAGATGGACCCCCTAGACTTACTTGGGTGATGAGTGGCGGTGGGATAGCGAGCCGTATGGGATAGAGGTGAACGCGGGCTGGGCATGGAGGGAGTTAAAGGATGCAGGTGAAGAGCTGCCAGAGGCGGTGAACATTGAGGACGGGGACTCGGGGCTCCAGTCCCAGGAACTATAAGCAGAACAAGGTCACGTCCCCGCAGGCAAGTGGCGCGAGAGGAGCGCGGGTCAAACCGGGGGGCAGGCAGCACGGTGGTTACAGAATCAGATCGAACACACAAGTCACAGACACAGCACGGTGGTGGCAATACAAAGAAGGAGTACCAGGCGGACAGACGGGCAGAGTGGAAAGGGGGGGGGGGTTACTGAATTGCAGACATGGAAGGAGCAGAGTTTTGTACACAAATGGAATGCCGGTCAGAGCCATTATCTCATCGGTCTTCTTTAATGCTGCTCTGAAAACTGCCCTGATAAAAACCAGGTGTAAAACTCTTGAGTAACAAATGATAACTCGCCCTATGATTAACTTTTCTCAATCTGTACTGATGTTCGCTCGTAGCACGGGTGCCAGATAACACATTTATTTCTGGGGGACATTACATTAGCAATAAAATGATTCATCTTATTATCGTCTACTGCTCAATAAACTGTAGCGCAGATTGCAGCGCTCTCGGTTTACAGTGAATTTGTTAAAAAAGGGCCGCATGGTTCTCTGTAGACCCGTCAGGCGAGAATGAGGTGTCGTTTGTATCTTGCGTGCAGCAGCAGCCATTGTTTTGATCAGCACACTGATGCCGGATACTCACCGAATGTCATCCAAACTGAGGCTATTTCTGGAACAATATGCACAAGGAGTTAGTGGCAGGGCCCCGTGGCCGCATACACACCGCACCTCGTCATCAACACATGAGTTGATCCCTGGGCTCGGGTCACATCACTTGTCTAAGTTTGCATCCTACTGTGAAGTGTGTAGGATGTGTCAAGTGTTTCTAGATTTATATTTGATGACTAAATCCTGCCGCAGCTACTGGGAGTTTTGATTTGGAAAAATGCTTGAGGAATCCTGACAAATTAAAGTAACTTGGGTTGAATGTGGGTGATTCAGCAAATGGATTTTCTTCCTAAACTACTAGCGAGGAACTCACTGTGTAACGATTTAGGCTTAACCATAAAAGTGTGAGTTTTGGTACTCTAGGTAAAACACCCACACAGGTAAAGTGAAACCTACCTGCTCATCCTGGAATTCCTGGCCGGCGACTCCGCTCCTCTGAGAAGCTGGCGGAAGTACTGGATGATGACATGCAAAGAGCCAATAAATAGATGTCAATCAAACGCAGCATATGCACATTCTGGAGCAGTATTAAAAACGATAAAGGAAAAAGGTGAGATCTGAATGAATTAACTTTGTTATGCCTTGATATAAAGATAAACATGACAACACTGTTTATTCACGGATTAGGATCAAGAGTGGCAACTAAAAAACCAAACTATTTTTTTATTTCCCCAGACACTATTCATGCAGTGGCCCGCTGTGCACAATGACCGAGCCCCGGTCCTCCCAGCTGCATTCAATGAAACAGCTCTGAGGGGTGAAATCCGGCGTGGCGGCTTGGCATAACGCCAGCGCCGGCTCATTGGCCGGTTGCGCGTCTGTTATCGAGGACCCGGGCGTTAGCGGTTGGGGGCTGCGAGATCGGAAGAGGGTGGCGCAAGAGCACCAGCGCATTCCAAATCAACGCTGTTCCCGGCTTTAGGCCAAACCCCCCCCCCCTTTTTGGTAAAGCTGACACAAGCAAACATTCGAATGGGAGAGGATATTAACATTGAGTCTGTGCCCACGCGACCACGTTGCGATTGGGCTGTAATTAGAAACCACCAGCATGACGGACAGATGCAACACAGATATGAAGCGGGGGATTCGTTAACTGGGCTGAGCCTCGTCAGGCTGGGTGACGGTCAGTTGAGCGACTCATTTGGTGGCGTGGACACTAACCTCGTCGCTGTGACAGAACATGGGCGTGAAAACGTTCTCCAGGAGGGACAGGACGTGCTCGGAGGACTCGAACAAACACCGCACGGTCTGCAGCTTCACCACCTCGGCAAACGGGCCGTCTGCAACTGGGAATTTCAACAACAACAAAAAACGCATGCATGTTGCCGGCAAACAAGCACGAGCAGGTCATCGCGTGCTCTTCCTCGGCGATTGACGTACTGTTGCGTATTTCCTCCACTATGAAGGGGTCGAAGCGGATCTTGTCAACGCTCTCGTCCAAGCAGTACGTCTCATAGATCTTCTTCACCTCCTCGTGAAGCCTCATCTTCTCGGTGTCAGAGAGCTCCGGGCACAGTATCCGGTCGTTGAATTCCTCTGGGAAGTTGAGAGTCAAACATCTCAGCACTCTTTAATATAGACCTCAAAAGAACGCGTGGAATGGACTCTGTGTGACAGCGTTATGGACAGACTTGCTTTTGGACTGTGTGAGGCTCAGAATTGAGAAGAACTGTGTGGTGACTTGACTGGCGGGTGGCTTTAGGTAACTCCATTCATGGAATTGCACTCGGCGTATCTATTGAAACCACCGGAAAAGGTTTAGGAGACGCTTACCGACTGCAAGACAAAACTGGAGCACGTGAACAGCCCCTTCTTGCTTCAGGAAGTTCATAAAACGAAAGAGAAGGTCTTGCTGTCCTCGGATTTCCTTCAACTCCAACTTCAGCACCTGGCGAGAGAGAACAGTAGTGGAAGGGACAACATAAATCACAAACAAAGGAGGTGCTCTTATAAAAGAAAAACTGGCTAAAAACGGTCAAAGTTTGCAAAGAGCGATTCAGTGACTCACAGAGGACTTTTTGCTGCGAACGTCAGAGTACTTCTGCAGGAACGGAACCAACATTGAAGTGGGCTCCGTGGCTTCTTCAGGCTATGGGACAAGAAAAAACTATATTGGAATTATTGTTCATCTTAAATCACCAATGAATTGTGTCCACACTCTGCAGCAATAGGTCTTAAAATATACGGAGCGGAAATGGTGCCGCCGGTGCACATGCGGTCACAACGCAGCAGATACTCACAGCAGAGTTGTCGATGAATATTAAAAGTAAATGATTCACTGTGTCCTGAAATGAAAAATAAAATAGCAGCCTGTAAGTTCATAACGTTAGACCACTTAATACTTTGAGATGTTCTGAAAAAGACCTTTGCAGGCCATGTGAGCTGACGTGCTTACTGAATACAAACCAAATGGTCTTTGACTGACAAACTGCCTCATGAGTAATAAATCACAACACTTCTCGATTCATAAAATCTTCCCTTAATGTGTCTACACTCACAGGATCAGCCAAGTAGTCCATTGAAGGAAGGAAGACAGAACCAGCCAACACTTCTCTTATCAGCAGAGTAAGAGATCTGAGAGAAGCGAAGAGATAATGCAGCAGGAAATAAGAAAATGGGAGGCCGAAGACGGATCCGTATTTACCGTTTTTATACTTTTAATGCTGTCGGACTCGCTCTTTGAGGGACGATTATGTGCATCAATGCTGTGAGGTTCTCGTGTTGCAAATATATGGAGGCACTGCCTCTGCGGTGCCAGCGCTGAGTTACCTGCAGTCTGTAGCCTTGGGAGGCAGAATGTAGGGAAAGAGCAACTCTGTCAGCTTCCTGAGGTAGAGGAGCTCATCTCTGCGACTGCGAAGGGCCACGTGGAGGTCAGGACCATATTCCTCCAGGGCGGCTTGTTGAAGGTACTCTGCGTTCTTCACTACGGAGGGGAGAGGTTTATCGTTTGCTTTTCTACGGTGAACACGGAGGAAAGACTCATTGCGCGATGCACGTGAGCGCTACCTTTCTGTCTCGCTTTGCTTATTATTTCAATGTGCTTCATGGAAACTTTAAGAAGCTTTTGCGTGATGAGTGAGGCCACTTCCACCTGAGCGGGGAAACATTTGTTCAAAAAACAATCGGCTCTCAGTCAATCGGCATCGCGAGATTTTAACTCCATGCTGTCAGATGTGTTACCTTCTGGGTTCGGCGGACCAAGACAGCGGCAAAGAAGCGCAAAGTCACCCGGAGCTCGTCAACAAACGCCTCGTCGTCCGTGACGTCTCTGAAAAGGAGAACTGTGCCGTCACACCTGTCACTAAATTTAACACATTATTCAAACTTGCTGTGGTTTCTGACGGGGGAAAAAATACAGAAAATGGCTCACCTGTACCAAGGATACACAAAGTTTTCCAGGACCAGCTCCAGAATCTTGGAAATTATAAAAACAGAAGTGGACTGAGATACTTTATTTACTAATAACTTTGAAAATGTGTTTTCTCCGTGCATGCATTACCTCTGACAAAGAAGCATCCACTTTAGAGGGAACTTTCAGGTCAAGCCATGGTTGATAGTTTTCCAATAATAAAGTCGGTCTATCAGTAAATAATAAAACAAAAAGTATTGTACATCGAGAAAATCGTGAGAAATGTTCTGACCACTAGAGGGCGGTGTAACATCTTCCAACACTTGATAATAAACAACAGTGGATTATTAATACATGTTGGCAAACCCAAGACAATAAAAACAGAATTATATAAAAACAATTAAATTAATCCAGATGATTGGTTGCTTTTCTACAGTTAACCTTAATGGCTTCTTCCAAATAAATAGTGGATGTTTTTTTTTTTTACTGTACTGGCACGAGATATGCAGCAGCATATAGGGCACAAAATCACAGGGATCTTCCAGGTGTTTGGAGCCTTTTGAGTGCCCGCTCAGTGCACTCTTGGGTCTATCGCCATTTAGAGTTTACCTTCTCGGCATGTTGACACAAACGATAAGGTCATAATGCGGCACACCTGCAATCAAGAAACAACACAAGCGCACACATCTCACCTGTGCCTTTTGCATTTGATTTTTCCACAAACAGCACAGCTGTGGCCCAGAGGAAACAGCTCCTGTTCGTATAACTGCAAGAGAAAGTGAACATGCAGCGGGCTCACAGTGATATGCTGTGCATGTACTGTTAAACTAGAAAAATACTCATATTTCCCACCATTCAGCTATGGAAATGCTTTGATCGTAGGGGATGTGGTGTACAATTTTACCTTGGTTTTGGGTTTGATGGAGAACAAGACATTGGGCAGCAGAGACTCGGGGCCCAAAGAGCAGTAGAAAGTGACGACTCCGGCCAGAAAGGACCAAAACACCATCATAATGTGTATGTATCTGTCATTAAAAAAAAACATGGCCATTTAATTAGAAAAAAACATGTGCGGATATACAGAGAATGGACGTCAGGGACGTTATAACATGAGGTGACTTTGACGGGCCTCCTCGCCTGTTAAACAGCACGGTGGTCAGCAGCAGGACCAGCAGCAGGAAGCAGAAGACTGGATACTGTCGCCCGAGCTCTCTGAACCTCTCCAGCTTGACCGTGCGTCGCATTTTCTGCAGACAAGCCCTGATGCACCCCATCCTGCGCGTGCACGGCCTATCGCATGTCACTGTGGAACGGAGACGCGCACGATCGTTCAAATACCAACGTCGCCATGGTGTTGCTTTTTTATTTTTTTATTTTAAATGCATCGTCTTCAGCACTTACTGTGATGTGTGCGGTGGATGTGTGTCAGTCCCGGCGGCACCGTCGTGAATTTTGCAGGAATAATAAATGCGTAGGGTTCGTACTCGCTCGCTCGTGTACGGTCAACGTCGGAGAGGGCGAGGCACGCGCGGCAACATCTGTGGACGCGCCGCACTACGACTCCGCCGCCGGGGTAATGGCTGCGGGGCTCCAGCCGTCACTTCGGTCCATTTCGAGGGGCACCGGTCGCTGGCCCGGTCGGTCGGTCGGTCGGCGCGCCGGAGACGCGTGATGTCACCTCCGCTGCGTGCCGGCGGCGGGGTAACGAGAAGCGTCGCGTCACGAAGGAAACGAGCCTGAATACACGCCCGAGGGTCCGTATCAGGAGACGAGGAAGTGCCTCGTTCTCAACGGTGTGCTGGCTGATTAGTCCAGCTGCCGCACACGTGTGTTACCTCGATATGACGTCACGGCAGAGACCGCGACACGGATGGATTTAAGCAAACCCAAAAGGCGTGAACGTCATGGGTGTAGCTGATAGTAACAGAGCCATTTTAATATGTGATCATCATTCTGTAGCGTGTCACAGAACATACATGACGTTCTTTATAGTTATAATCTGGCCAACTTCCAGTGATCAGTTGTGAACCCTTTATCAGCCAGAAAAATAAAAAACAGCACAACTCGTGCAAAACATTCGCGCCACATGAAGATTTATCCAAAGACACAGATAGAAATCAAAAACTTTATTACAAAAATAAGTTACACTCACCTCCATTTTACAGTATAAAACAATTTATTTGCAGGAATGCAAAAAACGTTGTTGGCCACCAACAATAGTTTAAAACTGCTAACATCTTTTTTTCAAAAGGTGGTTATGATGATTTTATTGAGGGAGTTAACTAGAAAACTGGGATTGAAGAGCAGCTTCCTTTTTGCTGTACCGGAGAAGTAGAAATCCTTCACTGCAGTATCCCTTCTACCACTATGCGACGATGATCCCCCACCGATCACAACAGCCAACGATCCTGAACAGGCAACATGAGGCTCAGTCATCCATCGAGATGACTGGAAATAGGTTTCTGCAAAAGTTGCCGTTTCGGGCAGTGGCGAGGGATCATTTACGGTTAACGTGATCTTATATGATGGGATATTGGATTAGTTTGTTTTACATGATTCTGATGTTTGAAAATCATTCAAATCATTGGTATCAATGGAAAATAAAAAAAACCCACCGGAATATTACAGTGGCACAAAAGGGACACTGCAGGGCTTTATTTTTGTTTATTTTTTTTAATCAAAGGCAGTTGGATGCCTGTGATGTTGAAGCCTTTACAAAAGTAACATTTTATCCGAAAAACTATACAACCAGTAACTACATACTCTGAAGAAGCAAGGCAGCTAATTCAGTTCAAAATAGGATAAAAGCAGGGCTCGTTCAGACTCATCATATGAGATTGTTTTGCATGCCCAGTTTGACTGTTTGCAGTGTCAGAGCTGAAGCTAAAATGACTATATTACATTAAGTACATCGTTTTTGCGCTGCAGCTCTTGTGCATATTTTGTATGAAAACAAGCCCTGCTTTCATCAATATAGTTTCCCTATTTACAGTACAGGCCGGGTAGTTTAGACCTCTGTACTGAGGTAGTCAACCAACCCTTTAAAGACAAGTTCTGAAAAGAACCACTTTCCTGGAATGCCTGACTTATCCATGCCAGGTGGGTACACCCTAAAAACCTGCAAATGTTCTGTCAAACATCCAGATCAAACGATTAAGAACATGGATATCCCGACAATAAAAATTGCGATTAGCACAAAAATATACAATAGCATCAAGCTCCTTTGAGCCACTTCAAACCCAAGAACTTAAAAAAGTGCAATTTTTTCAATAATTATTTAAAAATGGCATGTTCAGGGACAGGGAAGGGGTAGATTGTAAGGGCAATACATGGTACCCTGTAGACCAGGGCTGGGTACAGGGGCTTGGGGCAAAGAGGCTGTGGAGACTATTTAGATCCTCCAGTCATCTTTTTAAGGTGGCAGTTTTAGAAACAAAAGAAAAAAAGAAAAGAAAAACATGGGGGAGGGAAGATGCTTCTTCTGTAAGGCTGGAATATCATTGGACCTTTTTGTCGTGCTCTTTTTTTGTTTCAACATCCATTGCAGCTACGGTGTAACCCCACACATCAAGTCAGTATCCACTGTGACAGGTCAGGACCGCCCTCGGCCCCGTTTCCCTGCTGGTCCAATGAGAGCAAAGATAAAATTAGCACAGAATTTGACAGGTCATTCCAGACATGTGTTGCACATATTTCCCGTCAATCAGTAATCTAATAGATCAATAAAATTCCGCAAAATGTAGATTATAATCTATTTTGCCACTAGGGAGCTCAGTTTGCCTCCAAAAAAGTGTAGCGTGTTGTGAATGACCCTTGTCACCCGCCAGGGATTAGTTATGAGGCCAATAGGCCCGATAGGTAGACACCCACACTGAGCAGTCATTTTTCCTGGGATACACAAGCAAAGACTCAAAATAAAGTGCTCCACATTAAAAGTTAGTGTGAAAATAAGAGTGTCAGATTGAATAATTAAATGCACCTCTGCTTGTTCCAGGGCCTCCTCGCTGGGAGAAGCCCACCCGGCCCCTCGGTGTGACACCACCGCGGCCCCTGGTCTGACTGGCACCACCGCGCACTCCTCCCCTTGCGCCTCGTACTCGCCCAGACCCCTGGAAGTCATCATACCCGTAGTACGGGTCATCGTAACCGCCCCGGTAGTTGTGGTAGTCGTATCCATAGTAATCGTAATAGTCTTCATAGCCGTAATAGTCAGGGGGGTAAGAATAACCTCCCCTCCCGCCTCGGCCTCTGCCTCTCGTGGGTGGGGGCATGTGAGGAGGACCGTAATAATAGTATTCATCATACCTGAAAGATAATGTTAACAAAAAATAAATTAAAACCTGCATTCAGCATCAACATTTATGTTGCTAACGCATGACTAAAGACGTCATGTTTGAGTTGCATTGCTCCCTCTTACATGTGTGTTTTAGCGGCTTGTCTCTGGGCTTTGCGCTCCTTCCTCTTCTGGTCAGGGGGCTTGGCGAAGACTATTTCAATGTGCTCTCCCTCGAGGTCTTTGCCATTGAGATCAGCCAAAGCCTGTGAAAATTACAAATGAAATTAGGTTTTCACTGCAGAAACAGCTAAATGAAGATTAAGCTGGTACACTTTTTTTTTTTTTTTAAATCTCTTACCTTCACAGCACCATCTCGTTCCTCAAAGTGGATGAAGGCATAGTCTTTCAATTTCTTCACCCGCTCCAGCTTGCCGAACTGACTGAAGGCCTTTTCGAGTATCTCTTCTGTGACAGTGCTTGCCAAGTTCCTCACAAACAGCACTTTGACCTGTTAACAGAATACAAAAATGTGGCGTTTCAATTTGCAGAAAGCGGGACCAACAAAACTGCACCACTGTCTGGGAAAGTAACACAATTGTGGTCATACATTTCACAGTATGCTACCTATGACCTCTAGCCCCGTGCCTTACCTTGGCCATGACCTCTGGGTCTGGGTCCTCAATGGGGTCAGCCCACTCCACCGTGACCACATTGCCCCATACCTTCACCTTGCCGCTCATCAGTCGGCGGCGGGCTTGAGCTGCTGTCTTGTGGTCTTCATACTCAAGGAAGCAAAAGCCTCGATTCTTCTTCTTGTCGTCCGGCTGGTGGTACAATATGACATCATTTAGACCTTCTGTGGGGAGAAGGAACAAGGTAAAGAGGTGGAGAAAGGAAGCAACGGTTAAATGGCTTTCCTCAACTGAAATCATAGTAAGATCAGCGGTTAGTTGTCCGTTTTTGTCCAGTCAGATCTTAGCGGTAAACCATCATTGTAACGAGAGTCACTCCGGCATTATAATAAAAATGTCATCATTTGGACAATAACAGGAAAAGCTTGGAACACATTATAAGCTTCTTTCATTACAGATCTTAAAGGCAGCGCAGAGCTAATCGAAAAAAAGTACACCATATCAAAATAATAAAAAGCATTTCGGTTAATATTTCGCTTAATATTATTCCAAAGCATACATTGAAAGACTGTGCGGACTCACCCGTGACTTTTGCAAATTCTTCAACTATCTGCTCTTTTGTTTTACTCTTGGGAATAGAGCCAACAAACAGTCTATTATTGGCCACGGAGATGCACACGCCAATGTGTTTACCCGGTCGAATTTCATTGTTGTTGCACTGTGAAGGAATGGACGATATTGTGAACAAGGGGGGAAAAAAGCGCTGCTTACTTGAATAGAATTTCTGTCTGCAATTTAACTAACAATTCCACCACACGCTCACTACTTGTGGTTAATTTTTTAAACCTACCAATTTGACCGCCTGCTGTGCAGCATCTTTAGTGCAGAAAGTGACAAAGGCGTAGCCTCTGTTCAGGCCACTGAGAGGATCCATCATCAGGCGCAAATCCCAGATGGGTCCGGCTTTCTCAAACAGTGGAACCAGCTCATCCTCAAAGAGGTCCCTGGGGATTTTCCCTACAAATATCTGTCAGTTTGAGAGGGAAGGAAAACATTAGAGCAGCTTTGACTCGTCATGAGAGGATAAGACAAAGGCAGCATTGAATGAAAAGGTGTCCAATCAGGTCTTAGCGGTAAACATCAGCGTAACCATGGTTACTACAGATGATAAACGTTTCATCATTTAGACACCATGCTAGTGGCCCAAAACTTTAAAAAACTGACTCAACAAAGTATGTAAATAAAAGTGCATACTTCTTGCATCTTTGATTGATTGTAAAGACGACGTGTTCTGTACCTCAGTACCGACGGTGGGCTGTGGCCCTGAGTGAGCAGACTCTGGTGGGGGACCTCCATACTTCCTCTGGCCTGTTGTTACGTCAAGCGTGTAGGCGGTCCTCTCCAGCAAAGCCTGATGACGAGAAAACATGGAAAAGAAAGGAGGATACCGTTTGAGTCGTAGATAGAACACAAATGGTAAAACAACTAGTTCCACTGTAGGACTGTGGGATCAAACGCATTAAAAAGGTAAATTAACATTCTCATTTAAAATTTAATCCAAACAGCATACTGGTTAGAGAGACGAACTCTATTTTCACACTAAAAGCATTGAATGTGCGATGGCATATTTGTCCCAAACATTAAATTGGATAAACTATCTGAATGCAGGATCAGTTGTTACTTTGATTTTGGCTTCATCTGGTCCTTTATTGGTTTCTGACACTTTGGTCCCTTGTTTCTCTCTCTGTCTGTACGTCTTCATCACGCCACAAAGAAAGGCACTTTTGTTCTGGAAAAAAGAAAAAAAATGGAAAACAGCTGCTAAGTACCATCAAGCAAGGAGTTATTAGTAATTAAAACATGTCAAGATCGTTCACATTCCTTTTTCTATAGACTATGAAACGGCAGTTACACAGGAC